CCTTATTTTGAATGTATACGGGAGTATAAGAAATCTCTAAGTGAGTATTAGATTACAATTTTATAATATATTAGTTATGAGAAATTCTTTATATACCTTGAATCTAAATAAGTTTGTAAGAGCATATTTGAGATTGTTATGCACATTTTGTATGCCTTGAATGATTAGATAATAAATATATGGCTTAAATGCACTTTTAGTCTCCTGACTTACGTTTTTCTAAATTTTCAAGCCCTTTTAAAAAAAAAAACTTTTAAGTTCCTCACTTTGAATTATCCTAGAATTTTCTTAATCCCCTCTTCAGTTTGGACTATGTGGCATGGCCAGCGTTGATGTGGCACAATAGACGTTGACCCATACTGGAAATAACATTGTCATGTCATTAAAAACTTAATATATTCAGTATTTTGTCTTCTTTTGTCTTAGGTTTGCAGTATTTTGTCCCCCGTGATAGAAACATGTCGTTTTTGTTTTAGGGTTTGTGTTTTTTTGCACATGGTGGTTCTAGTCGTTTTAGGGTTTGTATTCCTATGTCGTTTAGGGCTTGTGGTCCCATGTGGGTTATGTTGATTTGTGTGTCTTCTTTTGTCTGACTTGTATTTAACATGTATTCCAGGTCATCACAAACTCAAAAAATTAGGTTTAGAGTTCATCATAGAGGTTATTTTGTGGACACCCCTGTGAAAATGTATGTTGCTGGGTTAATTTCAGAAATGAATTGGAAATGGGATATTGACTACCTTTCCTATTTTGAGTTGTTGGAATTGATTAAAAAAGAGGGGTATAAAGACATTTGTGTATTTGGTATTGGAACCCTAGGTATAGTTTTACTCGTGGCCTTAGAAAGATTAACGACGATGGTGATGTGTTGCAACTAATTAGGGACGCTGATGGGTGTGAGGTAGTAGATTTGTGTGCTGAGCATAGTATAAGTGTACCTGACATTGTAGATGATGCAGAAGTAGGACATGACATAACTTCTGATGATGATGAGGTTCAATGTACTGGTGAGAAATTTGTTGATGATGAGGTGGAAGTAGACAATAATGTTGAAGTAGTTGATAATGCTGAAGTGGGTGATGATGTTGAAGTAGGTGATGGTGTTGAAGTGGATAATGATGCTGAAGTGGGTGATGGTTTTGAAGTGGATATTGATGTTGAAGTAGATGATAGTGTTGAAGTGGATATTGATGCTGAAGTAGGTGATGGTGTTGATGTAGATAATAATGCTGAAGTAGGTGATGGTGTTGATGTGGATAATGTTGAGGGTTTATGGAGTGTTGCAAGAGCTATAACTATTCAAGGATGGGAGAGGGAAATGTTGAGGATGAAGGCTTTGAATGAATCATCTTCGAAGGATATGAAGGAGGTGTCAGCATAATATTGGAGCAGGTCACACTTTAAGACATATTCTAAGTGTGGCCTTCAGGTAAATAATATGTGTGAAGCCTTTAATAGGACCATCCTAGAATATATGGACAAACCTATTTTCACCATTTTAGAAGGGATAAGGCATTACTTGACTAAGAGAATCACTAACCAGAAGGAACTCATGATAAAGTATGCTAGTAATGTGTGTCCAAGAGTTTAGTTAGCTTTAGAGAAGAATAAGAAGTTTGTTGAAAGTTGGTCTCCAGCTTGGCATGGTGATGATGACAAGGTTATTTTTGGTGTAACAAATGGTATAGAAACTTACTATGTCAACATCAAAGAAGGTACATGTGCTTGTAGGAAATGAGACTTAATTAGGATCCCTTGTAGCCATGCCATAACACGTATATGGCATAACAAGAAACATCCTGAAGAATTTGTTCCTGAGTATTATAGGTATGTCATTATATGTATACTGATTTTTTTCATCTGTCATAAAATGTATATTTCTGAGTCTTTTTGATTTGTGCAGGAAATCAATTTTCCAGAACACATACTCTCACATCACATATCCTACAAATGGCCCTCAACTATGGCTTGTAGGTGGTGCATTAATTGTCAATCTATCAGTGATGAGAATGGCAATTGGACGTCCAAAAAATCTTAGGAACAAGAGCAATGATGAACCAAAGAATCCACATGTTCTACCAAGAAAGATAACAACTGTCACTTGTACAAAATGTAGAGCCATGGGGCATAATAAAAGAGCATGTAAAGGGAAGAGAGCAGCAGAGAGGCTTATGCCAAAGGGAGGGAATAAGAAATAAAAGATCACAAAGGGAAAGAGCAAGGGAAATGGAAATGGCAAGGGCAAGGACAAGAATACAAAGACTGCATCACAACCTACAATACTTATGTATTTTGGAATATGTAATGGTTAAGACTTATGTATTTTGAGTTATGTATTGGTTAAGACATAAGAATTATGTATTATGAGTTGAACAAGTTGTACTGATATTTTGAACAAGTTATAATGAATTTAGTATGTTATCTAAAGACTTTGGAATATACTGATATTTTGAACAAGTTAAACAAGTCATTACAGGCCTGTTATAATATTGTTAGGTCTGTTATAACATTGGTCTGTTTTGGAATGTAATTTGAGTTGAACAACTTGTATTGTTATCACATTATAACATTATAAGTCTGTTATTTTGAACAATTTCATAACAGTATAACATAATAACATTATATGTCTGTTATTTTTTACCAACTTTACAGGTCTGTTATAAGCCAACTTTATAGGTATGTCATTTTGAACTACTTTACAGGTCTGATATCACATTATAAGCCAACTTTATATGTTTGTTATTTTGAACAATGTTACATGTCTGTTATAAAATTATAACATTATAAGCCAACTTTATAGGTCTATTATTTTGAACTATGTTACAGGTCCGTTAACATTATAACATAACACATACAACAACAACATTACAATGTAAATTCAACTTAACAATGTCATAACAGTGTCAATTAACATTACTTCCTTGTCATAGCAGTACATTACAGCCAAACACTTCACCAAACCTAACACTTAACAATCTAACACATTACAACACTTAACAACTAAACACTTAACAAACTTAACACATTACAACCAAACACTTAACAAACCTAACATATTACAACCAAACACAAACAATACAAACTAATCGATTACATTTGATACAACCAACCTAATTAACAACACTAATATCATTCCCATGGTAAACTTGTTCATCATCTTCAAATACTTGATCTTCAACTTCAGTTGATCTTCTCTAACAATGGCTTCATTCAACTTAATTTTTTCTTGGTTTAATTTTTGATGCATTGAACATATCACTTCCTTGCCTCGTTGAGACATTTCTTCATCATACCAGACAAAGTGACTACATTTCTTGTATCCCTGATTCTAGACATATACATGAAGAAATTAGAAATTTTCTGGAGAAGACAACAAATTGGGGATTTTCAAGAAATATACATGAAACTAATCTTGTATATCCCACATCCAAAAAAACGACGACCTGAGTTTTGATCAGTTCACGCTTTCATCAATGGAGAAGGAATACCACACTTGCATTCGACGTGATTGAAGCGGGACACATTGCGATTGCTAGATGCTGAATATTCGGACATGGTCGCTAAGGCTTTAGATGAAGCTTGAAACGAATTCTTGAGAAGCAATTGGGGAAGAACACAAACGAATTCTGAAGAATGATTTCTAAAGTTCACAGATTTCAAATGGGGAAGAAGACATTCGTGTTTTATAAACTTTTTTAATCAATTTGTTTAATTAAAAATGTCTTTTATTTTAAATGTTTAAAAAAATTAAATATGATATGTTATAAATGATGTGGCAAATTATTTCTTGTCTGGGTCAACATTTTACTGTGCCACATCAGCGCTGATCATGTCACATAGCCCAGACTGAAGAGGGGACCAAGAAAATTCTAAGATAATTCAAAGTGATGGACTTAAAAGCTGATTTTTTAAAAAAGGAATTCTTAGATCTTCATCCTCGGTCTTAAAAATTATCTTTTAACAAAGGAATTGTCTAATTTATGATTCTTTTTTTAATAAGCTTGATATTAAACTTGAGTATGATCCTCTCATCTTATTTTGTATAGTCTTCATGCTTGTCATAATGATTTTCATACTTTTCCTAACGACTTTCATTCAGGAGCACACATAAAATATCATATAAAACCATAATTTTAATTATAATGTTTTCAATCATAGGATTTTTTTTTTAATGTGATGAAAAATATGAAATATAAGAATGATTTTAGTTTAACAAATAGAACTACACTCGTTTTCTACAGTATAAATGACTTAGATTATTTGTCGTGCAAGTTTTACCATTGCATGCAGTCCTGTAACTGCTGAATCAAAGTTGATTGTTGAAGTTTTTAATGTTTCAATAAAATCAATCAAGTATCTAGCTTGAAGATTTATGTTGAATCCTTAACTAGAAAATGAAACACAACAAATTACAATACTTTATTTGGAATTTAACTTCAGTAAAGTGAATAATTAGTAAAGAGAAAAACAAATCAAAGACTTATATCTCAATCATTCATAATATGTTACCATAAAGATATAATATTAACTACAAATTTATTCATATTGCTCACTTTGACTCTATAGCTAAAGTTGTTCATTTGATAGCAGCCGAATCCCATTTCTCAGAGATCTGATAATGCAATCTCTTCTAATTTAGATTGTGGAAAAAATATTTTGGAACAAAGTGTTAGAAAGATAAACTTACAAGAGGACAAATAAATAAATAAATAAAAATCCACTTTAGTCCACTACCATTTCATAAAGATTCAAAATGTTAAGAGCAAAGGCTAAAAGAACCTATCTCAAAATTAATCTATTAGATTGAAGAATCTCCTAGAATTACAAGTCCCTTTCAATGAACACTCATTCCTACAATTTGGCATTTTTTGTTATAAACTATATTCTAATATCAGCTATAAATACTCTCATGCCTAAAATACATGCTGCCTAGATATTTTTTTCTCATCTCTTCTTGGAGCTACTAGGCCTCAAATCAAGATCATAACACACAATGTCTACTAACTAGGTAGATCGTACTTCACCTCTGCCAAGTAGAGACCACATGCCGGGGCCATTGGACTTGCGGCCTTAACACTCTTTGCATTCAAGATTCTTTCAACTGAAATGGAGTGAAATCATTTTTAGCCGAAAACATAGTATAGATATTGTCAAGTATATCCACGGATATATATTATCACATATGAAAAGAGAAAACCGGGACGAGTACCTACCATCTAGAACTGTTAAGTTTCCAGTGCCGACTGCTTTGAGAACGCCGACAAGTAGTCTAACCTGAAATTAATTAACATGATTATTCAGACCAAAATAGTTTGTCCGTGTAGGATTAAATCCAAAGCATAACATACAACCTAGAAGTCTCATTCAAAAGGAATATACCAACCTGATGGTAAAGAAAAGCTCGTGCTCGTGCAGTTACCACCAAACAACGATGATACCTTCGTTTACCAAATCCCACGTCTTCATTTGATGTCCTTACTTCATCAATTCTTGCACTAGAGCTAAGGGGAATGGCGGATTCAGATTTGCTGTGAAAGCCATGAAGATCATCAGCAACTTTAATTTGTCGTTCTCTATCCATTAAAGATGGAAAATATGGACTTGGCATAACTTCAACGATACTGAGTTCATCTATTGTTCTAATTGGTGATTTTGCCTGTAAAGGGGCAATTTTGCATCATATTTTCTGGATTGTTCAAAATAAACTTTGCATGATATGATATAGAACTTCAAAACAAGACCTCTAATTTTGAAAAGAAAAGAGAAAATAGATACAGTAATAAACACTTTCAAAAAGAATACAAAAGGATTATTAAACTGAAATTAATCCTTTTAAGTGATAGCATAATAACAACTTATATGTGATAATTATGAAACTCAACAAACAAATCAACGTATAGACAGGCCTGATTCCTTCAGAAGAATACAAAAGAGGGTCGATGGGTAAAACTGCTTATTACTAGGAATTTTATCATCATAAATTATTATTTGTTACAAGTTAAAACGTCGGAGAAAATAAACCTCACCTGACAACCAGCTGCCCTAAAAGAACTAAAATCATGATGTCCAACTAGAACTTTGCATGCTTCCTGCATGGATATCATTAATCACTCGCATCTCATATGATAATTCTGAAAGCATAATAAACTACTGAATATAGGTAACTACTAACTAACTTGCATTGCCGGAAGATTAAGCTCCTCCTGTACATGCCATGCTCGATCTTTCTCCAAGGTTGACAAAGGCTCTGGCCCAGACAAAAGGCGATAGAAGTATCTGAATGGAAGTTCCAAAGAATTAAAAATTACAACATGATCACAAGATAATAAAAAATAAATAAATAAAGAAGAAGAAAAAAGAATTATCGGCTGGTGCATGATAAAATATACATGTACATCATTAGACAGTCTAGGATCAATCTTATTGTGATATTCTTAATTATCCCTATCATATAAAATAAAGAAACTTTTTATAGATCAAACAACTCCTCCATCCATAATACAACAAATGTAAATTGCAAATAATAATAGTCTCATAACATAGAACTTCACAAAAGCTAATGATGCTAGATAATACAGTAAGTGCATTTGTAACAGAGATAATCAATGCACATGTAACTTACGTGCGCTCTTGTGCACTATATCTGGCATGAAAATCTGATGGAACAGATCTAACATCAATGACCATTAAGTCACCGTTTTGCTTCTGAAATAAATCAAATTGCCAAAAAATTGTCAGGAGCTTCTGAGAACAAACAATTTTTTCAAATGGTATTAGCTGATAAATGAAATTGCAGGAACAATTTAGGTTTTCAAAACTGTAGCTCCAAGTTTATATTCGAGCCAAACATGTAGTCTAGGTTGTCAATAGCGCGCCATAGCGGAATTGCGTAGCAGTACAAGACTTCAGCACCACGCTATTGGCCTGCTAACCGTTATCCGCGATAGCGGAAATAGCGGCCGCTATTTGTGAAGTCGTGGCGGCGCAATAGCTGTTCTGTAGCGGTTTACATGCCGCTGTTGTGAAGTTGAGGGCAATATTGTAAGTATATTCTTTTTAAGGGCAAATTGATATTTTCCCTTTTATTTGACTAAAATTATAATATAGATTCATTTAAGAGAAGCAAGCTAGAGCATCAAAACATCAAAAGTTACAAGATTTAGTTTTTGTGAAGTACAGCCAAGCTCTTATAGAACGCTTCAATAGCAATGATTTAACTGATCCTATTCTCCTCAACAATATTGATGAATGTTATGAATGGTTGCAACAAAATGAGGATGAAAATGGAATATTTAATGACGATTTTGTTTCAGGAGAAGAGGGTTTGACTTGGGAAGTTGTTGGTAATGTCATTGGGGCTAATGGTTGACCAGCAAGAGTTACTAGACATAACTCTAGACGCAGTGTCTAATGGAGATGACGAGTTGGAGGTAGAAGAGTTTGAAATTGAATCAAGTGATGAGCAAGATGATATTAATGTGGTAGAACTTAGAAGTGAAGATGAGGCAGATGTGATTTAGTCTTTTTGTTTACGTTTAGTATTTACCTTGGATTTTAAAGCTCACAATAGCAGTCATCCCGCTATGCCGCTATAGCATTTTGGGGGTCCGGCGCTACCCGCCGCTATCCGAGATTAACAACCTAGCATGTAGTTGATAACAAGCATTGGAACACAGACTTGAAAAAGAAAATACTCAATATTTCATTTATTCGTAATATACATATTTAAAATGAAGTTTGTTATAGTACAAAAGTTAAGACTCCAGACTAAGGGGAGGCTATCACAAACAACACATCTACTCTTCAAAAAATATTTATGCACCAATGGTAAATTAATTGTCAAAATCCACACCAAAAGGATGAAAAGCAGTAGCTCAGAAATTAGTTGTGATGCATGTTTTTGCCACTACATAATGCACTTAGCAGACAGGTACATGTGATTGAGACACTAACAATCATAGGATGACAAAAAGTAAATTTCAAGCACACATCGTCTGCAGCTAGCTGGCATTCAAAAACATGCTAGATTTCCCATTCAGTTTTTATTTGGCATTTACATTGCCTCATATGAAAAATAAACATGATTTTGATAATGACAAATCACAAAAAAATGGATATCGCCAGAGATGAGAAAAGAAATGTGGAACCCTGTTTTTGCAGTTTCTTCTTCTCCATAAACAAGATCAAGAATTTTACCAAAGATAGAAGAAGCACCAAATTAAAATGATATAGAATTTACCAATCATAGAAGAACACACCTGTAAGAAATGGTTCACAGCCCTTCTAACCACAGCAGGTTCATGAGGTTGTAACTGTATTTTTACAAGATAGTTACTGAAAAATAATAGAAAACGCATACATACCCTCTTTCAATCTAATAAACAGTAAATGGAAAAAACAGTGATGTCAATCAACAATTAGAAAAGGGACGGGGACCTACACACATCATCCTCCATAGTACACATCTGAGGAAAATGTAAAACTAACAGTTTAGCAAGAAGCAGGGAAAAGTAAACAGTAAGCATCAATACGAAAGAGACATCAACATCAAGGATGCTTATATTATATCAAACCAAGACAGGATAAGCTGTTTCCCTTGTGCATGCAGAGTACTATTTCGATTCATGAAGATGGCCGTAAGAAGCTAAAATATATTTATCTACAACTTTAAACTGAAATCATTTGACAGAGGATAGCTTCCAGATGATCACAATCACATATTAACCACTACTGTATTAAACTCAAACAACATATATTGAGCCACAATTGATCAAAGAAAGTTTCATTTTCACGCAAGTCAAATTCATAAAAAATTGTTGACCACAAGAGAAACACATACAATCTATTAATCTGAAATTTATCACATGGAACAAGACAAACATTAGTGAAAGAGAAAGTTGAATTATATGCGAGATACCAACCACTTCACCAGGCTTCCTTTTGCTAATTCGTTCGATATCTACATGACAAACATTCGACAAAGCATGCACTCCAGCATCCTGGAATAATGGATAATTTCTCAAATAGCGTGTTACGTTAGACACTAATTCTAATACATTAGCAGCATTATACTCACAGTTCGACTCGAACAAATAACAGAAACTCGTTGTCCAACAAATTTACAAAAAGCTTCCTACAAATGCAAAAACATTCAATTACAAAAACAATCAATCATCACACGCAAAAAAAAAGTACAAAATCACAATACATGTAATATTGGAAATGGAAATGTGATGGTACCTCAAGAACACCAACAACAGTACGGTCAGTGAGCTGCTTCTGAGAACCACAGAAGCGAGTTCCGATGTACTCAATCGCCACCAAGTAGCGTTGAATCTTACGGTGTTGGTTCATCTCTTGCTTTTGGTCTTCTTCGTCGCCGTCGTCGATAGGATTGGGATAGTCGATTTTTGAAATCTTTGACGGCCTATTATCACTGCATTCTTCAAATTCAACTGTGTGCTTCGGACTTTGTGTCATTGAATCGGTTCCAACTACAATTCAACCTCAATGGTGAACTATCACTCACAAACCCAGGTCAGGGTTTAGGGTTTCAGATTTTCCATGGCTAAATGTAATCGAGTGGTAAAAAATAAAAAGTATGTTTTTTTATGAAAACTTTTAATAAGAAAACTAATTTTTTTAAAAGAAATTTTAAATAATTGAACTTGTTTGAATAAAAAAGTTAGAGAATTATTAAAATGATAGGAATGTATGGTTTATTTTATTCCACTTAAATTTATGGTTGCATCCATAAGTCATGGATTTTTTTTTAAATAACCATTATTTTTAAATAATATACTGAATAAACTATTATTTTAAAATAATTACTAAAATAATTAAGTTTGGGTTGAAGATGAAGAGAAAACACCGATTCAAATGACACGTGCACGCTCCATATATATATATATATATATATATATATATATATATATATATATATATATATATATATATATATATATATATATATATATATATATATATATATATATATATATATATAGAGAGAGAGAGAGAGATAGATAGATAGACGTCCTTTCAAATGACTTATGCATATACCATGCGTCATATGCATTGGCGCATGTATTCATTCCCCTAGAGCATGCGTCGTTCGCTATGGTTACTCCTTTATACCATCTTTTTATGAATACATCATCATTTCCTCTTCATTTTTTGCACTTCTTACTATTTTCTTCCATTTTTATAATCTCCTTCCTTTTTTTTCAAAATGTCTTCATATATATGTCCCTATATCCACAAGAGAAATATCGATTTAATTTATTCGACAGTAACACCTCCGATGCAGATCCGACTTTGGAATACAAAGACGTTCGAACATCTTAACAGGAGTTCTTAGGAAAGGATTAGAAGAATTCAAAGGCCTGTTACCACGTTCAACCAAAATGGAGAAGTTCGTTTATAGGAGATTGTTAAAACTGACAGAGTTGCTCACATGATGATGTATAGTTCTTAGGAAATTGTCCTAATGGTTGTAATCGCATAGTTATGTTGTTTAGTCATTGTATTTGTTTGTTTTGTTGTTTAATTGTTTAAATTGTTGTTAGTTGTTGTTTTTAAATTATTGTAAATAATTGTTATGATATTTATGAAATGAAAGTTGTTTTTGATATAAAGTGAAACGACTATATTTAAAATAATGTTGTTGTGCTTGGTTCAACATTGGGACAGTTTGTATGATTGTATCCGGATTGACGACATGAACTACATAATCTCACCATTTTGTTTGCCATATCCATCTCGGTTCGAATACGTGTGTTGTTAGGGTGACCCTTTTTATAATTACGTTGTGTCAGACTATATCCCTTTTATATGCAGGCCAATAGTCCTCTTTTGCTACCACCAGGAAGCTAGTGTTATAGAAATTGCATAGGTTTATGACTTGGTAAACGGCGGACAGTAAGTTGGAAGGGTCATGGCGAGCCTTTGAACATGCAGTTATGACATGGGAGTAAGGCATACTAAAGACTTGAAACTTTCCGCAATCACACTAACTTCTATCTAGTTCCACTTGATAGTATCCCTTCGGCCTCCCTTCATTATGACCCATTGAATCAACAATATTAGACCCACTTTTATTACGGTCAAACATTGTGACCACATGCGTGTTAGCTTTGGAAACTTCTTCCTTAATAAATTTCATTGAACTATCACTGAACAACTTCCCAGATGGTAACACAAAACTCCATTTTGAACGTCTGATCTCAAAAAGTGACTTGAGCCTAAAATAGGTTGCCCTCACCAAAGCGGTTATCGGTAGGTTTTTGTTGCCTTTAAAGTCATAATTCAATGATTCAACGAGATTTGTTGTCATGTGGCTCCATCGTTGTCCATTGTCGTATGCCCTTATATTCCTATTATTTTACAAGCATACAATTATTTATATTGAAAATTTACCATGGAGATAATCTCTAAAAGAGAAGTTATTTCATTTAACCAAGGTGCTATTTAATTTAAGTCATTTTGAGATTTTATAATCGTTGTAAATTTATAATATGCTACTTTAAATTTTATCTCTTATGTTATCTCGATAGACTCATTTGGAGAAGTATTTTGAGTGCGACAGTAGAATAACATGGTTGTAAAATGTATGTGTTATGACCAGTTGCATGAGTTCTATAAGACAATAGCACAATTATTTTGGATTTTGCATGTTTTGGAAGCAGATGGTTAAGTGAAAATGAAAAATAAGTTTGTTTGTTTCTAAGTAAAATAAAATGTCAATTTTGTGTGAAGAAGAGAGAGTCCAAAGCTATAAATTGAATTCAAGTTCTTCATTCTAAGACGTATCAGTCAAAAGCACTTTAAATTTGTATTAGACTTTCATTATTCTCTTACAATCTTGTATGAGAGTGTTGAGAGATCTAGTTAAATATTTGCTTTGGAGGGTATAGTGTTATTCTCTGGTTGTCAATTGACAACGATTATAGTTTTTCTCCGATTTTGGAGTTTTCACGTTATGTTCTTGTGTTGTGAGTGTGTCCCTTTTTTCTCTATGTTTTGTTGTTTTTTCCAACAACTGTTATCAGAGCTTTTGCTTTGATCTAGGAATAAGTGTTCTTAGTATGTTCTATGATTGTTGATCTTCCACTTCAAAAAAAAGGGTAGTGTTGTGAAAAAGTTGTTGATCTGTAGTCACAAATGGTGATGTGCAGTTTGTAACAGCCCAAATTTCATTAAATAATTAATTGTGTTAATTAATTGATTTATTTGGATTATTCTAATTATTTGAATAATTAGATGTTTGTTTAATGGATTGATAAATGTTTTGAGAAAGTAAATATATTGGAAAGAAATAAAGAGAAAGGTATTATGGAGGAAATAGAATGGAAAGAAAATGATAGAGAGAAAAGAAAAGAAAAGAAATAAAAGGATATAAAAAGGGAATTGGAGAGAAAGAGAAAGATAAAAGAGAAAAAGAAGAGAAAGGAAGAAGAAGAGGAGAAATGAAGAGGAAAAGGGGAAAAGCTTGGAGAACCTTCAAGAACCAATTTCGAAGCTCCGATTAATCGAGGTAAGGGTGAGGAACATTGCTATTTAATCATTGTATGCTATTATGTATGTTGGGTTTGGGTTTTGGATGTTTTTCATCACTTTCTATTTAGGGCAAAAGTTGGATTAATCGGTAGATCGAGGATTTAATCGGTTGAAACTGAGCAATAATGCCGTAGAATAGTCGGGTAACATGTATTGATGTTATTTGTACTGATTTGGATGTTTGAGGTTTGGTTGATGGTGGATTGAGAAGGAGAAGACAGAGTGAAATTCTGTTCTGCGCAGGTTCGCTGGCTCTCGCCAGGCGAGCGAAGGCGAAGCTTCGCCAGGCGAAGCCTAGCGAATGCTGGCGAGTAATTATGATTAAGTCCCAGTGGACTTCGCTGGCGAGTTCGCCAAGCGAAGGTGGATAGCGAAGGTTCGCCCAGCGAAGGTGCTGGCGAATGGTGGCGAATGAAGTCAGTAGCTACTGACTTGGGCTCGCTGGGAAGTCTCGCCAGGCGAAGCCTAGCGAAGGTTCGCTGCGAGGGTTCGCCAGGCGAATGAAGGCGAATGTGACAGCATTTTTCTTTTGCTGTGTTGCTCATATGGTGATTGTTTGATTGATTCACATAGGTTAATACTTCTATGTTATGAATGAGGATGTGAACTATTATGATAACATGTGCTGTGGGTAGCCTTCGGGCGTGAATCCTAGAGTTGTGATATGAATGATTAATTGTTATCGGTTAAAATACATGAGAACATAATGATGATTATGTGTGTATTAATGATGAGTTTGTGAACGTTTGATTGTTGTGTACAATTATGTGACGAGTATGCATGACTTATAATTGTGAATATATGTGGATAATGCATGAGAACATATTGTGGATATGTGTGCATTGTTGATAATGCGGTGATGATATTGAATTGTGAATGTATATTGTTGGTATATGGTGGTATGAATAGAATGCATGAGAACATGTCATTGATATGTGTGCATTGCTTGATAGATGTTGTAAATGCATATTGTATGTATGTGATTAAATGTGAAGAATGCATGAGAACATATCGTGGATATGTGTGCATTGTGAGTGATAATGTGGTGATAGTGTTGAATTATGAATACATCGATGAATGTTATGTGAATATGTTGTGTGTGCAATCATAATGTAATTCTTGAAGTGATGAATTATGTAAATGCATGAGATTAAGATGTCGGTCTTAAGTGCATTTGTTGCGATTGATTGTACATGCATCATTTAGTCAAGAGGCAATGTCTGTTAGTTTCGTGGAAACTAGTGGCTTGTCCCAAACCTAGAAGTGTGGGTTTGAAGGCTTAGAGGACGGGCCTTTGTGGTTATCGGTCTAGAAGTGTGGACCCGGTTTAATGTAAAAACCGAAAAAAAGATAACGGGTTATCGGTCTAGAAGTGTGGACCCGGTTTAATGTAAAAACCGAAAAAAGATAACGAAAGTCGGTACCGCATTGCATGAGTTGCATTGAGTTGTTGAGTCACATTGATATATGACATATGCATGAAGTGATGCTTATGTGTGAATGATGAGATGTTTGTTGAATACTTATGAAGCGTGCATGAAAAGATGCTTACGTGTGAATGTTAAGATTGTGGAATTGTGGATGTATGCATGACGCAAAATGCTTGGTGAATATTCATGTTGTATATAAATATAAGTGACGATGTAAATGACTATGAGTTGAATTGTGGTGAGAAATAGGAAGTTAATCATATGATACCTATATATACATGATTTTATGCTTTGATTATTATGGTAATATTTCTCACCCTTCTGCTGTTTTATAATGCTCTATGAGGCATTGCAGATTAGGTTGCTGGAGGCCTTTGTGAAGTTCTGCTTGTAGTTCGAGGTTGCTACATGTGTAGCGGTTTAGTAATTATTTATGGGTCGAGTCATGCTCTGGTAGTGTAACACGGGGATCGATTGCTTATGTTTTAGGAT